TGAACATGTAGGAGCAGCACCAAAAAATAAAAGTACAAAAATAGACTCTTTTCATAGAAAAAAGCAAAAAGTGCCCCAAAAAGCTTTTCCTAAACCCCAGCTGACAACACTCAGCCTTGTGGATTATACAAAAGATCTTCCAAAAGTTTACAGGAAATTAATATTGTGGGAAAAAAAACTATGCACAGATTTCAAAATTTGTTCATCAAAACAAACTCCTGTTTTCATTTTTCATAAATTTTTGGAAGTCCCATAATGCACTGCCTTGCAGAAAGGCCTCACCACCAACTTACTATAATTTACTTCCTCACCAATTAGTCCATCTTTAAAAAGTCTCCTCCTGCGAATGGACACTCAGCTGAGTGGTTAAGGCACTCCCTTCCCCCTCTGGAGTGCATGGGGTCAGTTCCTGGCTCCAGCACACCCAGGAGGCAGCAGCAGCGGCTCAAGTAAAAGGGCTCCTGCCATACACAAGGGAGATCTGGACTGCATTCCTGGCTCCCTGCTTGGGTTCCTGTCCAGTCGCCACCATTGTGAGCATTTGGGGAGTGAAAACCAGCAGATGGGAGCCCTCCCTCTGCCTCTCAAATTATTATTTTTAAATTAAACAAGAAAAAATTTGCTGCTTTGGGAAGTTCAGCTGCCGTCACAGTTAAGAAAACCCGCTGCCCTGCAGAGGATTTCACAGTTGAGACTGCTGATCAGGTAGATGCAACTGAAGAAATATCTAACATTTGTGTGCGTCTCCTGTTCTCTGTGATTGAGCTAAGCTGCTAGCCCTAGGTCAGCACAGTGATAACGAACAAGAACAAGCTCTTTCGCTCCCAAAGCTGGCCAGGGGCAAAACCAGCAGTTTCTCCTGCACGATGCCTGTCCACCCTCTGACCTGGTGTTTCATGAACCTGTTGTCTGAACTGTCTAGTTGGAGACTGTGCCTCGGGGTGCCTTCCTCTGTTGGGTAGATTGCCAAATGATAACCTTGGTGGTTTATAAATAATGGTCATTAGAAGACAGCCTCAAATTATTTGACATCCAGATTGAAGGGAAAAGTGGTACTTTTTTCATCCATAATTCCCTAGAATTTGGATCAGAAATGGCATTCAAGAAAAAAGCATATTGGTTTCTGTCAGATGTGGATGGTTCAGACCTTCCTACATCTGAGGTCAGATGCCACAGAATGAAGCCCTGGGCCAGAACCTGTAGGGTGTCAGACCTGAGTCCCAGCCATGAGGAATCTTTACCCCTTGTCATGTACAATTGTGGGGTGGGGGAACACAGAATTGAGCTAGAAGCGAAAGAAGGTAGAAGTGTTTGTTCTTTTTACCCAAATCCTCATAAAAGTATTTAATGATTAAATGGGCATCCCCAACCTCTGGCCTCTTTATTTTTAAAAATATCCAGATACTAAAATTTCCAGAATTAGGCTCATCCTACCTCCGCCTGCCTTGATACTGACTCTTAAATTCTCAAGGATTTCTTGCTTTGTCAGGGTTCGTGGTGGTGACTGTGAGCCCATTTGTGTGCTTAGTGGAAGGAACATTGGACCAAGAATCAAAGACAGGGCTGCAGCCTAGCCACCTGTCTCTTTGTTGTAATTTTTGAGACAGAGAGACAGGGGCAGACCAAGATCTCCCATCCTCTGGTTCAGGCTCCAAATGCCTGCAATGCCCAGGCTAAGCCAGGCGAAAACTAGAAGCTGGGAACTCAATCCAGGACTCACACGGGTGACAGGGATCCAACTACTTGAGCCATCTTTCACCTGCTGCCTCCCAGGGTGCAGGTTAATAGGAAACTAGAATCGGGACTGGAGGTGGGACTCGAGTGCAGGTCCTCTAGTTTAAGATGCAGGTGTCCTTAACTGCTGGCCCACACGCCCACCCGCTTGCCCCTCTCAGCAGCTGTGTGGTCTTGGGCAATGACTGAACGTGGGGATTTGTTTCCTCTCTGAGAACTCCCTGAGCGCACTTACAGCTGTGCAGTTCATCTACAGTACTGTGCTAGTCTCACAGCATCTACAGTACTGTGCTAGTCGTCGTCCTAAATAGCCCGTGCATCCTCACAGCAGCCTTACAACTTAGGTGCTATTAGCTGCTTCGTTTAATGGATGTGGAAACTGAGGCCCAGAAAGGTTCAGTAACTTGCCTAGAGTCACACAGCAAGTAAGTGGTCTACACAAGAACCAGATTACAAAGGGTTTCCTCAGCCCCAGAGTGCATCAACGGTAAGATGTGAGAAAGGTCGTTTGGCACTGTCTGTGGAGAGGAGGTGGCCCTGCGGAGCAGGCGGAAGGGTGGGGAGCCAGCAGGCTGTGTATCCTTTCAAACACATGGCTCAAAACCTCCAAGAGTCCTTGGTCTCCCTGTGCTCTGCTTTCATCTGTCCCTGGTTTTTATTTTTCTTCCATCTCTTTCAAATCTTCTTCTTGGATGCCCACCAACCCCCTTCTGGTCCAGGGCCGCCTCCCTGTGTAGCTGCAGCTCAGTCACAGTGGGGACTCGCGCGCGCTCGCACCCGCACAGCCTGAGGCCATCGGCTGAGCCTTTTCCCATTCGTGTGGCAATAGCTGCTGGTCTCCTCACTCCAGCAGTTCCTGGCCCCATCTGTTCCCATAAACACCACGTCTCTTACCAGGAGTCCTCTGTCGCATTGGGTTGTTGAGTGGCAAAACATCAACTCAGAGGAGTGTGAGTGACAAGGCAAGGTGGTGAGCTCCGTGCTTTGGGCAGAGCTGAGGCCAAGGTCTGGGGCCACGTCTTCAGGGTTTATTTCTTCTGATGGACTTAGGAGAGCCCCAGCAGCTCAAGGCTCGCTCCTGACCTGATGGATTCCCCCGGCAGGAAGATGAGTTCTGCCCAGCACCTCTGACTTGGGTCACGTGCCCCGCCTGAAACACAGTGGCCGGGAGCGAACCTGGTGGCTCGGAGATAGCGCCAGCCTGGCTGCAGCTTCGCTCTGCGGACCGCCGCCCCCACTCTGTGTCCTTACACTTGCTGCGCCGGACGTGCCCACAGGAAGCTGGTTCCTTCAGCGATGTTCTGAATATCAAAACTCTATTCGATTTGCAAAGCCCTGCTACAATTCTGTGTTCTACAGAGGCTTCCATGTCCTGCCCCTGGAAGTGGGTCGTTTCCTCCTCTGTTGAACAGAGCGTGCGCCAGGCATCACTTCCCGGTCACTGGACTGCTGGTCCCCATCTCTGTCCGTGCTGTAGCTCAGAGTTCCTGGGCTCTTCCCACACACACCAGTTTTTTACTTCATCACACCTCTGCCCACCCGCTCCACTTACCTTCAGGCAGAAGCCTACGAAGTAAGCAGGGAAGGAGCTTTGCTCTGTTTCCACAGCCCCGTATTCCTTGAGCAGCCGCTCTGCAGGACTTGCTCGGTGCCACAGTTAGAAACGTGAATGCGATGACCCACAGCCCTTCATCAGCCCGCTTTTGTGAGCACCCAGCTGTCCACTGACTGTGTCTTCCCTGGAACACACCAAGCTCTTTGCCACCTCTGGGCCTCTGCCCGGAACATGGTTCTTTCCACCCCCACCTGACCAGCCGTACCCTTCCCAGTTTTGAGGAGGCTTACCCCAAATCTCACCCAGGCCCACCGTCCTCTCTCAGCACTCCTTGGCTGTTTTCACAGCGCCTCTCACCAGCTGTACTTACCTTACTTTACCGCCTCCCCACCAGGCTGTGCATCCCCGAGAACAGGATAGCATTTTTGTGCTAATACCTGTATGACTGATGCCCAGCCCCACGCGTGACCGACAAGAGACACGAGACAGAACGCGTTGAGTGAATAAAAGCACCTGCCGTTCCCACAGCTTAGTGGGTGTCAGAGCAGATGCTGGGACTCGGGTTGGCTGAAGCGGCGGTCAGTGTGGCTCCTTTTGTGGGCCCCTGTGCCGCGCCCCTGACCAGCCTCCCTTCCTGAGCTACACAGTCACAGAGGCCCAGGACCTCAGTGCTCCTTGGTGTGGGCTTCCCGGACACCAGCCCTGGGGTTTAGGGTGTGGAGGGTGCGTCTGTCTGGGTAGGTAGACAGAAGGCATAACAGACTGAAGGCTGGGTGTGGGGAAAACCTGGGAGGGGCAGAAGTGACCAATGCAGGAAGGGTGGGGTGGGCTGATGTACTAAACATTGCTGGAGAGATTCACCTTGTACCCTCAGTGAAGTCTAAAATTAGCACTGTGTTCTGGAGTTTTGGGGATAAACTTTGCATTTTAGTGGGTCTTGCATTTTCATTTCTGTATTGCTGTCACATTATATTGGAACAATTTCATTATCCATGAAAGCAACTTTTACTGCTCCTTACTCCAGAGCAGGCAGCCTGTTTCTATAGCAATATTGGAAGCATTTAGAGGTATTTTTATGCAGTGAGCTCTACAAAGTCCCTGCAGACGGTACACAGTGTCTGGTAGAAATGAGCCATAAGCCCCAGATCATTGCTTTACATCCGTTATTAAACTCTGCACACCTTGCTGTAGTGTGATTCCAGAAATGTAAACCTCCCTGATTTTTAGGAAAGTAGGTGACTGGGAGGGAGGGGCTTGTAGGTGTGTTCGCCTGTAACCATGGATGACAGTTCTGAAATAGTCTGAATGGTGTTGGGGGGTCACAAAGAAGATGTGATTGCTTCTTGAGACCTTCTGGGGTGTTCTTGGTTTGTTTTGTTTGTTTGTTTGTTTGTTTGGTTTTTTTGACAGGTAGAGTGGACAGAGAGAGACAGAAAGGTCTTCCTTTGCCGTTGGTTCACCCTCCAATGGCCACTGCTGCCAGCGCACTGCGGCTGGCGCACCACGCTGATCCAAAGGCAGGAGCCAGGTGCTTCCTCCTGGTCTCCCATGGGGTGCAGGGCCCAAGCACTTGGGCCATCCTCCACTGCACTCCCAGGCCACAGCAGAGAGCTGGCCTGGGAGAGGGGCAACCAGGACAGAATCCGGCGCCCCTGTTCTTGGGGTTTGTAGGGAGTTTGTTTAGTCATGGATGCCCTCCGTGTGTCTGCAGGGCCTGGACAGCTTCAACGTGAAACAGAAATTCTTCTCCAGTCACCAGGAGCCAGCAGCTGCCTTCCCTGTGCCGTATGATCTGCCCCCAGAACTGTATGGAAGTAAAGGTAAGGCCGAAAGGAAGGAAGCCGTGGGTCACTGTGCCTCTCAGCGGCACCCTGGCTCATGGAACCCTCGGGAAGCCAGGTGTGCAGAGTCCCATTCACCTCTCTGTCTGGGGCCACAGCTCTCAAACTGCGTGTCTTTGCACTCCTCTAATCGTTGAGAACCACAAAGAACTTTTATTTAAGTTGGACTTTGTGTCTGTTGATGCTTACAATATTAGAAATTAAAACAGCAATTCTCAAATATTTATTGAAGTATTAGTTTTAAAATAACAATAATAAACTCCTTTAACGTTTTTATGACCATTTCCAAAATGAGAAGCTAGCTGGTAAAGTGGCATTAGGTTTTTGCAAGCCCCCTCGCTGTTCGTTTCTCTTTTTTTCCCTCCTCTGCTGTCTTCTCGTAGCTGCCCTCCCATTCAGTCTGTTGTGATGTCCCACGTTACGTAGCCTCTGTTCACTTGTGTGAAAATGAACGCATAAGCAACACGCGATGACTTAATATTATAGTGAAAATCATTCTGGCCTCATGGGCCACCACCCATCCCCCAAAAAGGGAGAGTCCCAGGCCATATTTTGAACAGTGCTGTCCTTGACCATGAGTTTCCTGGGCAGTGAGCAAGCGTTTCACAGTGGCAGTCAGTAGGAACATCACAGCAGGCTCACATCACGTCACAACTGTCCTGGGATGAGGCCGGCTGGCATGAGTGCCTCCTCCATCCATCCCCCTGTGGCCCAGCCTCCAGGCTGCTGTGCTGCTGTCCCCAGCCCTGGGGACGACTGTCTTTGAGGCGAGGCCACACACACCAAGCTCGAATGAGGTGGGGAAGAATGTGACACGGCAAGTGCTCATGTTAGCACAGCCAGCATGTTCTCCTCCAAAGGGAGAGAGGCCTACGTGAGTAGCCGTATTCTAATCTGTGGGTCTCTGAGCTAGCACTAAATCTGAAAAAACAACATGTATTTTTCAATTAAAAGCTTTGGATGGCATCACTGTTAATATTCCAAAGTCTGCCATTCCTTAATGGGGCCAGGGTACCCAGCAGGTGCCCATTTGCCCCAGACAGTGCTGGAGGGATCCTCGCAACATCACAGCCCTCACCATGTTGGGTGCCTGTGGAGAAGCAACCCCTCCCTTCTGATAGACCCATTTCCTAAACGGTTGACTCATCTGGTGAGGTTCATCCCGTCTGCTGCTGTGCTGTCCCTGGGCCACCCTGGCCTCTGGAAGGTGACTGTAACTCTGGAATCAGTTGTGTTCATGTTGATGCTGAGTCCCACACAGCGTTCTTCTTCCTAAGCAGAGACACTCTGTAGAGGCCTCTGAAGCTGTCATGTGTTCACGCATGCTCCTTTGACACTAGTAAGGTGCAAGATCTGAATTTCAAGAAAAATGTGCACACCCCACCCACTAAGTGGCGCCGGACATTCATTTCTTTCTTCATTGTGACTGCTTTGGGCTTTACCTCCTGACCCTGAGCTTGCACTGCCCACCCCAAGCCTGGAACCCAGGCCGGACTCCAGCTTCTCTTTTTAGTCCTGATTGCCAGCGAACTGTAAAAGCAGTAATGGGAGAGGCTTAAAAATATCCCAAGGGGGGCTGCCACTGTGGCATAGCAGGTAAAGCCACCGCCTACGGTGCTGGCATCCCTTATGGGCACCCATTCATGTCCCGGCTGCTCCACTTCCGATCCAACTCTGCTATGGCCTGGGAAAGTAGTAGAAGGTGGCCCAAGTCCTTGGGTCCCTGCACCTGCATGGGAGACCCAGAAGAAGCTTCTGGCTCCTGGCTTCGGATCAGCCCAGCTACAGCTGTTGTGGCCATTTGAGAAATTAACCAGTGGTTGGAAGACTTCTCTCGCTCTTGTTCTCTCTCTGCCTCTCTAACTCTGCCTTTCAAATAAAAATAAATAAATCTTTAAAAAAATGTATTCCCAGAGGAGCAGGCGTTTGGCCTAGCAGTTTAAGCCATCAGCTGGGACTCCCGCATCCCCTTTCCAAGTGTTCCTGGGCTCAAGTCCTGGCTCCACTTGGTCTGGCTTCCTGTTACTGCAGACTCTAGAAGGCAGCAGTCATGGCTCACCACATGGGAGACCAGAATTGAGATCACAGCCCAGCGCCTGCTGTTGTGGACTTCCGTGGGGTGAGCCAGCAAATGGGAACATACATGTACATGCTGTCTCTCAGCCTCTCAAAACAAAATTTTTTTAATGTTCAAGAAAGTCCTGTCCCTTCCCAAGAAAAAGCATTCCCAAGAGCTTAGAAGTTTATAACATGATAAAATCTTAGCGTATGAAATGATAAATCTTTTATTTGGCCAGCAAGTAGGATGTTTTCCAATGTTTGTCTGAATTGTTTCTCAAGAATTTTCTCTGAAAGACACATACAGGCAAAGCAGGAGCATTTATTTTGTGTCAGTACTGTCTTCCTCTTCACTGTTCAGTAGCATAGCGAAGAATGCTAGTGGTTCAGATGTTGCCACTTCTCTGTAGCCAGCGTTCAGGGCAACCTTGTGGACTCCACAAACGCATTTTGTCAAGATTTAGAAAAGTGAGTGCAGAAGAACATTTCAAAAATCCTTCATTTTGAAAAGTGATTTTTTAAACCCGTTGGAATACACAAGGTTTTGTATGCTTAGCCAAAGCAGGTTCTACTGTGAACAGAGCTGCAGCTCAAGACAAGATCACCAGAAACCAAGAAAACGATCAAATAAAGCAAAGCGAAAACTAAGACTCAGCTGCCAGGATACCTTGCCTCGTGCTGTAGCTGGGCTTTGCTTCTCTCTGCAGAAGCGTGGGAACCTGTTGTGTGCAGACACCGAAGGAGACAGCACAGATCCTGCCCTAATCCAGTTCACACTGTTCTTGGCCTGAAAAGTTCTACAGCAAACTCATTTTACCTAGAGGAGGAGTATTTTTTAAAAATATATTTATTTTATTTGAAAGACTGAGTGTCGGGGCCGGCACTGTGGCTTAGCAGGTAAAGCTGCCACCTGCAGTGCCAGCATCCCATATGGACACTGGTTCAAGCCCCAGCTGCTCCACTTCCGATCCAGCTCTCTGCTATGGCCTTGGAAAACAGTAGAAGATGGCCCAAGATCTTGGGCCCCTGCACTCAATGTGGGAGACCCAAATGAAGCTCCTGGCTCCTGGCTTCTGATCATTGCAGCTCTGGCCACTGTGACCATTTGGGAAGTGAACCAACGGATCGAAGACCTCTCTCTCTCTCTCTGCCTCTCCTTCTCTCTCTCTAGAACTCTGTCTTTGAAATAAATAAATAAATCTTAAAAAAAAAAAAAAGAAGAAGAAAGACTGAGTGTCAGAGAGGGAGAGACAGAGAAAAAGCCATCTACGTTCACTCCCCAAATGGCTACAACAATCAGAGCTGGGCCAGGAGCCGGGAGCTTGGTCCAGGTCTCCCATGTGGGAGGCAGGAACCCACGCACTTGGGCCATTTGTTGCTGTTTCCCAGGTGCATTAGCAGGAAGATGTATCAGAAGCAGAGCAGCCAGGACTTGAATTGCACTCCAAAATGAGATGCTGGCGTCACAAGTGGTGGCTTGACCCACTGTACCACAATACCAGCCCCTACAGGTAGTATTTTTTCTTCTTTTTTTTTTTTTTTTTTTAAAGATTTTATTTATTTTATTTGAGAGGTAGAGTTACAGACAGGGAGAGGGAGAGACAGAACGGTCTTCCTTCCATTGGTTCACTCTCCAAATGCCCGCAGCAGCCAGAACTGCACCAGTCCGAAGCCAGGAGCCAGGTGCTTCTTCCTGATCTCCCATTTGGGTGCAGGGCCCAAGCACCTGGGCCATCCTCCACTGCCTTCCCGGGCCATAGCAGAGAGCTGGATTGGAAGAGGAGCAACCGGGACTAGAACTGATGCCGACCCCTATTTTTTCTTTTTTTAAGATTTATAGATTCATTTGAAAGGTAGAATGATGAGACAAAGGAAGAGACAGAGATCTCCCATCCTCTGGTTCATCCCCCAAATGCCTGCAACAGCCAAGGGTGAACCAGGCCCAAAGCCAGAAGCCAGGAACTCCATTAGGGTCTCCCATGTGGGTGGTAGGAAGCCAAGCTCTTGGGCCATTATCCACTGCTTACCCAGACACAGGAGCAGGAAACTGGATTGCAAGCAAATCAGCTGGAACTCTAACCAGGACTCCAGTGTGGAATACTGGCTTCACCAGCGTCAGCTTTATCCACTGAGCCACCCAGCACTAGCAGTGTTCTTAAACTAATCTATTGGTTGATTGATTTATTTTTCTGCAAGGCAGAGACAGTTTTCCTCCATTGGTTTATTTCCAAGATGCCCAAAACAGTTGTAACTAGACCAGGCTGAAGCTGGGAGCCAGGAATTCAAGTCAGGTCCCCAGCGTGGTTAACAAGGACCCTGATGACTTGAGTCATCACTATTGCCTCCCTTGGGCTGCATTGGCAGGAGGTTGGTGCCATGTGCAGGAACCAGGAATTGTACTCAAGTGCTCTGATATGGGAGGCAGGCACCTGTTTTTGTTTTTTGTTTTTTTTAAGTTTTATTTATTTGAGGGGCAGAGGTAGGGAAAGTCAGAAAGAGACATCTTCCATCTGCTGGTTCACTCCTAAATGTCCACAATGGCCAGAGCTGGGCAGATCCAAAGCCAGGAGCTTCTTCCAGGTCTCCCACGTGGGTGCAGGGGCCCAAACACTTGGGCCATCCTCCACTGCTTTCCCAAGAGGGAGCTGGATCAGAAGTGGAGCAGCTGGGGCTCGAACCAGTACCCATATGGGATGCGGGCACCACAGGCAGAGGTGTAACCTATCGTGCCTCAGCGCCAGCCTCGAAATGCATGCATCTTAACTGCTAGGTCAGACACACTCCAGGGAGACTTTGTTTTGTTTTTGTTTTTTGAGGCCACAAAAACATTTTTAAGTGTGGTTGTGATCTTCTTTAATAAAATGTGAGAGTTTTTTGTTTCATTGTAGAAATAGAAGATGGAAAGTAAACTTCTAGCTCAGCTTTTAGATTACTTTGTAATCAGGAAGCTTAAGGAAATCCCAAATTTTTAAAGTGAAAACAAGTTAATTTACCAGAGTCCCTGGAACTAAGTAAGTCCTGGCTTTCAGTGAGTTGAATTATGCTTCCTGCCACCGGTTTGGCTGCTCTGTTGTGCTGTAGAGTCACAGTTCACCGTGTGCGGTTCTTCACAGAGAAGGGACCCATGGGTCGCAGGCAGCACTGGCTCTGCAGTTGTAGTGACTGCGTTTCTGCTAATTGGTGAGCGTTGTGCGCTGTGTGAGCTTTCCCTCGCGTTGCCAGCTGACTTGTCTCCTGGACATCTCTGAGTTCAGAGTCGGCTAAAGTACAGTGGAATTGGAACTCATAAGCTGATTGGTTCATCTCTTTGGGATCCCATCTCTCTCTCTCTCTCTCTCTCTCTCTCTCACACACACACACACACACACACACACACACACACAGTCTGCTTACACCTGATACTGCCAGAGAAATGGAAAGTGATTGTTCAGGTGACAGTGGCTTCCGGAGGAGCCTGTCAGGTTTCCCTGTAAAGACAGTGGGAAATGTACATCTGGGCCAAGGGGTGAGTAGGGTGGTGACTCCTCAACCCACAGCCGCATCTTAGAGGATTTACCTGGCTAAGTCCAGTAGGGATTTGCTCCTCACGTGGGTTTTCTGATTGTGGAGACACCTGTTGGTACCTGCGCAGTACATGCAGTAGGGACAGCCGTCCCCTGTGAGCTGAAGCAGGTGCTGCTTGTCCTTGCAGCCCAGGCTCATTAAGCACTTGTATGTACCAGGAACTGGTGAATTCTTTCGTTGTAACCTCACAGCCTCGTAACACAAGTACCATAGTAGAACCCCCAGCTTCCAGATAAGGAGCCAGGACACTGCCGTTAAGTGGGTCAAGGCCCCTCGGGCAGTCTGACCCCAAACGTCCACAACCCCTTTGCCATCACACCATGCTGCCTTCCTGCAGAGGCCACGTCCTGGGGTTCACAGAGGTATGAGGTGGACACAGTCCAGCCACAGAGCGATGAGATGGGTATACAAAAACAGACCAGAGGCCAGCGCCGCGGCTCACTAGGCTAATCCTCCACTTGCGGCGCCGGCACACCGGGTTCTAGTCCCGGTCAGGGCACCGGGTTCTGTCCCAGTTGCCCCTCTTCCAGGCCAGCTCTCTGCTGTGGCCCGGGAGTGCAGTGGAGGATGGCCCAAGTGCTTGGGCCCTGCACCCCATGGGAGACCAGGATAAGTACCTGCTCCTGCCATCAGATCAGCGCAGTGCACTGACCACAGTACGCTTGCTGCGGTGGCCATTGGAGGGTGAACCAACGGCAAAGGAGGACCTTTCTCTCTGTCTCTCTCTCTCTCACTGTCCACTCTGCCTGTCAAAAAAAAAAAAAAAAAAAAAAAAAACCCAGAACGCCACGGCTCTCATTCATCTCATTCCTCCCCAGACTCCCACTGTGGCCTTCACATAGGCCTGGTTCCCACCCGCCCACACCGCTCATTCACCCTCCCCGTGCTGCCTCCTGCCACAGGAAGCCGTCCCTGCACCTCTGCCATGCAGCTCTGCTCATGTCCCTCTTGGGTCCTCTGCAGCCTTGAATCTCATATTTAAGTGAATCAGGACCACCTTTGGAATCTGAGACGAGAAGATACTGCCAGGCCCCAGCTCAGATCTACTAGAACACGCTCCCTGAGCTGGATCCCGGGGATCCAGGATCCCGTCAGCCAGGTTAGGGAGCCGCTGCACAGCCCTGGTGAAGTCCGAATTCCAGCCACGTGGCAGGCTGCTGGTCCGCCTTCCCCTCAGACCACAGCTCCATGAGGCTGATCCCGCTGTCTGTCGACAGCCCCAGCAAAGCCCCTGGCGTTCAGCCAGCACTCAGCAACTATTTCCGCTCCGTGTATGCATCTGTGACGACGCCCAGTGCCCTCTGGGGTAACCTGGGACGATCACCTAGGACAGGTTTTCCTGTAAGCCTCTGCGTGCTGGTTCTGGTGCTCGTAGCGCAGAGTAAAGACTTCCTCGAGTCCCAGGCCCTCCTCCCAGCAGCCGTCTCTCTGGCTTTCCCTCCACGGGTACTAAACCTCTCAGCCAATATGGGCACTGTTCACCTACACGGTAGGAGTTCTCATTTCTAAAGGGGAGCCTCCAGGGAGTTGCCCATGCGTGGTTACTAGGTCCTTGCTTGGTCATTATCGCTGATGCTGAGGGACGGGAGTAAATGCAGTGGTGTCCTTGGAGTCTCAGGCTGACTGATAAGAGCTTGCACCACAAATCCTGCACCCTGGAGAGCGTCTCTGACGAGCTACTCGTATGGCAGCAATCAGGGGTGCTCTGCCTTGGGGATGAAGCAGAGCCAGCGTCACCCAAGAGCAGTCTGCAGGGAAAGATGGGTGAGTGACAAGTCCAGGCACAGAAGGTGCCGCTCCCAGTGGGAGGCAGCAAGGGCACTGTTAAGGTCAGTGAGCTGCCATGGGGGCCAAGTGCTCGGCCCTCCTGGTCCTGGGCCTTACAGGAAACAAAGGTAAAGTAGGCCCTGCTTTAGGGCTCACTAACAAGACAGGGCCTGGTTTCATCCTTTCAGACCAGCCCAAGGCCAAAGACAAGCCCACAGTGCTCTGATAATTTGTTGCCATCGCTGATACCCTTTTCCCCCACATCCTGCTGGGTGCTGCTGTTGGCAGCGGGGGGAGGAAAGAGAAGGGAAGAGATATTGACTTTGCCAGGCAGGCCCCTGAGCTGCTGTGCACTTCTGTTCAGAAGGGGGAAGGCTCCCCACAGGTGAGTGCTATGCTGAGACCCTGCTGCCTCCCGTTGGCAGCCCCGCTGAGCCCTGCTGGGCGACCCTTTCGGACCCTGTGCTCTGTCCTTAGCATTGGCCTCTGTCTTCACAGCAGCCCCGGGAGGGACATGGGCACAGACGGGGAAACTGGGGCTCAGGTGGGCGGTGTGGCTCACCAGTCTGACACAGCAGGGAAGGAGTGCCAGGGTTTGCCCTGGGCACGTGCTCGCCTGCTCCCCACCACACTTCCCCCCCGGGGGGCCCTCATGGGACCCTTCACTACAAGCCGTTGTCTGAAGGGGGTGTCGCCTGGCTTTGGCTCAGAAGATGTTTCTCACACTTTGGAGAATCAGGCACGCGCGTTCTTGTATCCTTTGGTGACTCTTCTGTGATCCTGTTCAAATGAACGCTGTGTAATGTGCTTTCTCCCCCAGATCGGCCGTGGATTTGGAACATCCCTTACGTCAAAGCGCCAGACACACATGGGAACATGTGGGTGCCCTCCTGAGCGTCTGCAGTCGTAGGACGTGGAGCCCCAGCACCGAGTGTTCCTGGCCGTACTGGGTGCGCACGTCCCTGAAGGTGATACTTGCGCTTCTGCAGAGGTCACACTTGTGACCATGGGTGTATGTTTAATCATCACTGACATTCTCACTGAAAAGAAGAAGTGTCCCTTTGTTAATTCACTTTTATATGCTTTGAAAAGAAACCTATTAAACGTCACAATGTTGAACACACCTTTGGAGAGATGGTTAAAGTTATCCCCGCAGCCACACACGCCCGTGACGGCTCGTGCTGCCCTGACCAACCTCACAGCTTGCGCTTCGAGAGGCGCCCTTCACTCACCCGGCCTCGCGGAGGGGTAATGCGATCTTCACTTTCTGAGGGTCTCGGGCATTTCTGGATTCAAGCTCGCACACTCTGTGGCTGGGGTCCGTCGACCCCTGCAGCCTTCTCGGCTCTCTGCCTCTGCTCAGCAAGTTCTCTCGCCCACCCAGCCCCGTGCTGGCAGCCTCTTGGCTCACAGGCTCATCCCGCGGGACCCGGCCACCAGCTGTTTCCTCATCCATTTCCCAGGCCACCCCCAGAGACGCCCAGAGAAGCCAGCTCCTAGGATCCGTGCAGCGCACACAAGCGCTTTGCTGGAAGGAAATCCTCACGGGTGACTGCGTGGCGTGCCACCAGTTCCCAAGGGAGGAAGCTGAGGCCAGGTGGTTCCGGATGTGGCCCGGGCCACAGCTGCCTGGGGTCTGAGCGGGGTCTGCGTCGGTGCATGGGGCTCTCCTGGGGTGATTTAGACCCTGACTTCTGCGTGACGCTGATCTCCAGTTTGTCACCAGACAGATGATGTCATTCATCTTATAAACTTAGGAGGGAGTTGAATAATAGTTTTGAAAGTTTTTCGAAAATACCCTGTCAGGGTATTCCCTGGAGGCCTAGGAGTTTCCAAGAGCCCCTTAGGAACCTGGAGTGGAGGGAAGGGCTGAGGAAGACAGCTTCGGAGCCACCCCGCTTTCCTTACTGGGCCTCCACCTGTGAGACACGCGCGTATGTAGTTTATTCTGGTCAAAAAAGTTGAAAAGCCACTAGGTTAACCAGTTCATTTCACAGGGAAGAAAGCTCAGGCATGAGCCCTCCCGGCCCACATTCTGTGGATCAAAACATTGAGGTCCTCACCTGGTGAGCTGACCGCCACGGACCGGCAGTAGGAGCCAGCACTGCTGGGGCAGACCCAGAGCCTGGCGGTGACCTCACGCTCATTCTTTAGGGTTAGCCTCATTTTCCTGGTAAGGAAATTTGGGCTCAAAAACGTCATACTTGTAGGGCGTATTTTTACCTGTACTTGCACCCATGTCAGACAAACACCCAAAACCTGTCCTCTTAACCAGCAGGCTGTCCCACCAGTGGCCTGGGCTAGGCTCTGTGGGATACTAATGTCTCAAAGGATGGCCCCTCCCTCCCCACCCCCCATCCACCATGGACAGATACTGCTGTAGAGTGTTACGGCGGGCACTTGGATGCCACACTGCTGTCAAGTGCTGTGGGGGTTTCCAGATGCTTTCTGACCCCATCACAGCAGCCCACGGACCACACCTGGAGACGGTTCTGTGGAGTGGGCTAGATAGGTCATTGGGGGCCACGCTAGGAGAAACCCGTCCATGATCACAGAGTTTGCCCTCAGCCCCCAACAGCAGCCCTGTGCCCTGTCCAGTTGAGGAGGGGCGGGGCGGGGCCATCAGTAGAGTCAGCGCCGTGTGCTTTCTGGGCAGAGCTGATCGCACTCGTGGGCAGTGATGCCCCAGGAATAACGAACCAGTAGCAACAGAAGACAAGCAGGTCCCCCCGTCTGGGCCTGGTGTTAGGACTGAGCGACCCAGAGTGCAGCGGCCAGGCCGCTGATGTGTTATGGAAACCGCCTCCATCATCCCCCAGTGGGGCCTACCAGGTATGTCTCCAGGGAACAGGCCTCTCGCGTCCCAGGCTTTGTCCCCTCTCCTCCCACCCCTCTGATCTCATGGAAAGGCCGCCTGGGCAGGCCTCCAGCACACCGCTCTCTGACTGCCCTGTGAACTGTCAATGTAACAGACTCATGGTCTGATCAGGACGTTTTAGACATGTGACAGAAGGAACCGCTGCCTTTTTCTCGTAAGAAAAAAGTTCTTTTTCCGTCTTCCCTAACATCCTGTGGAAATAGGCCTGAGCATTGGCGAGACCTAAAAACTCAATGCAGGGAACGGTCGGCATGGACACACGGTGCCCTCGGGTTCATCTGCCACTTTGGCTGGACTCCCTGCGCCCTGCACTGCTCATGAATTCCTGTGCGAAGGGAAGGATGGCCGGCCACCCTAACCCTAACCAACTCTTGAGGTCGAGGAAGGCGCTAGCTAGGACTTGTAAATTGTTTGTCAGTATACTGGGGACACTTGCCTGGCTTACCCATAGCGTAGATCCACGTCACTGCAGCTCATCCCAGAGACAGCGACAGCTGATGCTTCCTGAGTTCTTTCCATGTTCTAACTCCTGGGCCCAGGTGCTTCACCCTTCATCCTCAGGCCAGCCCACTTTACAGATGGAGAAACAGGCGTGGGAGTTAAACAGCCAGAGTCCCCCGGTAAGTGGTAGGAGCAGCGCTGAGGTCTGCCCCCTCCTGCACCACATTGCAGTGTTGGAGCTCCACTTTCCTGGATTCTTGATAGAAGGTACATAGTTACTTTAATAGAAACAATCAGGATTGCAAAACCCCCAAGTAAATGTGATTTAGGCATCAGACTTGGAATGTTTAAAAATCTTGCAACTGATTTTATTCACAATCTTTGTTTTTCCATGTGAAATTAAAAGTTTATGTTCTAGGGGCAAGTGTTCGACACAGCGCCTAAGACACCCACATTCCATACTAGAGTGCCTGGATGCAAGCCCCAGCTGCACCCCGACTCCAGCTTGCTGCTAATGTGCACCCCGGGAGGCGGCAGGTGACGGCTTAAATACTTGAGTCCCTCTCCTATGGGGGAGACGCCTGCATTGAGTTCCTGGCACGCAGCTGTGGCCTGGCCCAGCCCCCGCCGCTACAAGCTTCTGGGGAGTGAGCCAGGGTTGGGAGCTCTGTCTCAAATATTTGAGAGTTTATGGTCTCGGGAAATTGTCTAATTTTATTTGTTCATTGTGAAACCAGTTTTGGGTGATCTAGGTGTTTTGCTTTTCATAGTATGGGACATTTGACTATCCTCATTAATAGAATCTGCTAAGAAAAAATACTTATAGGAAAAATGAGACTTTCAGCAAAGTAAGTAGACAAGTCACACCAAAAAAAGAATTAGCATTGTAACCCGTTGGTCTTTGCTCGTGAGTACCTTGAGGGTTTGGACAGGTGTTCTTTTATGTTTATGAAGCTCATCAGTGACATTGATGGATGTGAAATTGTACGTGATAAACTGCCAAAGCCTGCCCAGGGACTCAGTGACTGGCAGGAGTAAAATAGCGTCACTACAGTGTAGCATTGAACCTAAAGCTTGTTTGCATGCTACCTACGTTGCACACAGGTGAGATGCCATTAGGATAAGGTCTTTGAGAAGTTTTCCTGGTAGGTAGCCCACTCCAAGCAACGCCCAGGGCAAGAGCACACAGACTGCAATGGCTGCCTCTCGCAGTAAGTCGGGTCTGGGGTCCACTGCTTGTGTAATAGGGCCCACACACAACAAAGAGAGCAGGTTAGGGGGTATGTGGAGCCAGCTGCTTCTGGAAGTACCAGCAGTGACACGTCCGGAACCCAGCATGGATTCAGTCACCAGGCAGGTGATTGGGTGATCTGGCCTGTGTTCACCAGTCCCTAAGCAGTGACAGTGACCAGCAAGTACTGAGCACTTGGGCCAGGAACCCTTGCATGTGCCCTATGACACCCTAAGAACTATTTCCCCTACCACAGATGGAGAGACTACAGAGGCCACTTGTCCAGGCTCACACAGCTGGGATCTGAATCCAGGCTTACGCTGCACCGCCGTGAGGCTCAGGCAGTGAGTGTGGCAAATGCTCCCTAGCTCAGGCAGTGAGTGTGGCAAGTGCTCCCTAGCTCCGGCCGAGGAGCAGGCTTGGTGATAAGCAAGTATGTAGATACCAGACCGGGTGCCCTTTCATCCACTGCAACTGCAAATCATGGCTGGTGTGGCAGAGCCAACTAGCTGCACAGAAAGTCAACCAGTAAATCGCATTAGCGTGCGGGCCTGAGCTGATGAATTACGGAGGCCAGACTTCACTGCCAATGGAACGGGCTCCTTTCAAGTGACAGCGTCCGAGGTTCTGTTCGGTTCCCCGGCTGCAACCCAGCGTTTCCGTGGCCTCACTGCACCTGCAGCACAGAGCGAGAGGGATCAGGCTGGGTGTCGCAGAGTAGGCCGCAGCGGAGGTGCCGGGGAGAGAGGGAGGGCCATGAGGAAATGAAGCCAGCCCGGGCAGGGCTGAGTGCTGAGCCCGGGGGAGCCAAAGTGTCCCGAGTCCGGTACCACATGTGTCCTGGACTTGACAGAGGCCCGTGTGAGCCGTCCTGAAGCAGAGTCCGGTGGCCACGTCTGGATTGCACGTTAGTCTCCGTAGGCTGCAGGAGCCTTGAACCACAGCCTGACCCTTATGCGTGGCCCATGTTTCTGCAGCACCTGCTTCACTGTCTCCTGAGCCCAACGCAGTTTGTTGAGAACCAGAAGCCTCTGGACCAGCGTCCTTTTTAAGGACAAGAATAGAGAAGGCGCAAGGGAAAGGCCAAGGAGACAGTGCATCCACTGGGTCAGATCGGAGGTCACTACACACCTTCATCACATCATGGGACAGGTGACAATGCCTTCATTTGATAATAGAAAAATAAGGTTCATGACCCGATAGCTCAGTAATGAACAAGGGCTGTGCCTCTTCTGGGATGCTGGGTCCTCCCCAGCTCTGCCAGCACAGGGCTGAGGACACGGGTGATGCCACTGTGTGTGCCCTGCATGGCTGTTTACTCGCAGGTTCTTTAAAAATTACATGGCCAGGCGGGCAATTCACACAGCGATTAAAACACCCCATCCCATATTGGAGTGTGCCGGTTCAAGTCCCAGCTGCCTTCCATTTCCAGCTTCTTGCTGATGCGTTCCCTGGGAGGCAGCAGATGGTGGCTCAAAGAGTTGGGTCCCTGCCCAACCTAGATGGAGGGAGACCTAGATGGAGTTCTTGGCTCCTGGCTTCAGCCTGGCCCAGCCCCAGCTCTGGCAGGCAC